GGGGGAGGGGGGAGGTGCCGCGCGTGCCAAGGAGGTGCTAGCCGGCGGTGGTGGCGTCGTCGGCGATGGAATCGGCGACGTGGAGATCGGTGTTGACGGTCAGCAGTGGCCGTGACGCTGGCGATCAAGGCGGCGGCGATGAATCGGCGGGGGAAATGTCGACGGCAAGGGCAGCCGGCGGCGGTGAGCGCAGCCGACGTGGTGTTTCGACGAGAAGAAGAGCTTTTGGCTGCCGTCGTAGTAGTTTTGTGGTAGATTTTCCCGGCACCGCGGAGACCATCGTGTGCGCGCACCAGTCGCAACGGTAGCCCCCAGTCGCCCGTTGGCTGTGCGGGAGTGTCTCGAGGGGAGTGTGAGCCCGGGCGTCGCCCGGGCGCTGGGCAGAGGGATCAAGGGCGCGTAGCATCTAGGCGATGGGTTTCGCCGGCGGACCTGCCGAGTCGCCTATGGGAGAGCCTTTGCGCGTCAGGCCCCGCTGAGCAACGGGAGGCAGCGGGGGCGGGTCGTCAAGCACCTGGTGAACAGGCGCTCTCAAAAAAGAAAAAAATATGGCGGACGCGACGGCTGTGATGCTCGATAAATTCGAGGGGCCAAAATATGCCGCGAGCAGGGCAGAGTTGCGCCGAAAGGCGGGAGAAGCCGCGAGAGCAAGGGATCGGCAGGCGGCGGCGGCGTCGCTGGATGAGGCAGACGAGAGCGAGAGAGAGAGATTTTTAGCAATACCAAACAACTCTAACACTCACACGTTTTGTTTTCGAGAGCGACGCGACAGAGGAGGAAGCGACAGGAGGGAGAACGACGAGAGTGTAACGACCGCGAGGTGGCATGAAGGTTGCAGCGAGAATCGGCGAGGGACTGCGAAGGGAGATAGAAAGAGGCAGACGACCAAGGGTTAGGGTGGGCGACGGCTAGCACCACACTCCTCTCCTTAAGGTTCCCCATGCCAGTTTCGGAGGGCAAACCCTGTCCGGCCCCTAGAGCCCCGGGTAAGGCCCAGGTGTGGCCTAGGGCATCAGAAGGGACCAAGAGGAGTCCAGTCTGAGCCATAGAGCCCATGTCTTTGCCCCCGAAGGTCGCGTTCAAATGCCCGGAACGGCCGTCTCAGTGGTGTCCGGCCGGCGCGATCACCGAGCTGTGACGCTCAGGGAAGCCCGATGAGGTGCTGGTTTCTTTGCCCAGGCCTGGCCTACGACCCATGCTGGATCAGCTGAGCAAGGTTTGGGGAGAATCCTATATTGGGATCTTCAGATATTTTGACGGATGACCGAAAATGGGCAAAAACGGGGTGCTCAGTCAAGATATTGTGCATATGGTCGGTCTCTACAATATTTTGACTGAGCACGACCGATGAATCGGCAGCACGGAGACAGGAAGGCTCGCTGTGTGAGTCGGCCACGCAGAGGGTCGGAACCTGGGTCGCAAGAGGTTATACAGCAGAGCCCGCCCCCAGTCCGGTCTAGCGGAGACTGGACAGGCGCTCGTGCGAGCCCTACCGCATCCGAAAGTCGCAACTGAGGCGGCGGGCCCCCGTGGCGTGACCCAGCCGAGCACTCCTTCGCCGCTCGTCATGATCGGTAATGTCCGAGCAGCTGTGCGGACGGCTTCATGTCGCTCTCGTCGAGAGCGTTTTGGCGGCCCGGCGAGTGGGAGAATCTGTGTCGTCTGATGTGTCACTGTGTACGTCACATCGGTCTTGATAACAAGCACGGTCAATCCGTCAAAGCGATACACTCGTTCCTATCTCGCTGGAGGGCTGGCACGGAGCTCTGTGCCGACAAACAGGAAGAGCTGAGCGGCAAGAAGGGCTCGATGGGGAGCGAGATGGTTGATGTGATGCGCTGGAATGCATCCGGATCAAGACAGAAGTTGTGCGACGGCGGGAGGTATGGCTACTGGTTTTTTGTCACACCAGGAACGAGCATTAAAGTGCAAATTGGCAGATCCCTCCGCTTGGCATCTCGCGAAGATGCTGGCATTTTGCTGAGCAACGACAGCAGTCGTCTAGATCGTAACGACACTGGATGGTGCGACAGTGCTCGGAAGATGGGGTATGATTCGATACAGATCGTGACAGAAGGTGCTTACTATGTCAAGCACGCATCAAAACTTAAGCGGCGACAAACAGAGCTGGTCATCTGCAGCCTTCCAAACGGTCCAAGTACGTGCTACGCATGTGCTCCGGGCATCCGCTTTTACGACAAAAAATCCATGCGGTGACTAGGACGGACTATCCCTCGAAAAAAGTAGAAAAATAAGAGACATAGAACACCCGTGCTGGCTGGGGAACGAGGGTTGCGAGGTCAGTTTATGCTACACACCGCGTCCTAGAGGCTAGTGCCATTTCACTGTGGCACAGCTCGCGTTACAAAATCTTGATTTTGACCATTTGCGCACTATTGTACCTCTCGGTGCCTTCCAGAGGCAGCTGCGACCCCGCCGAG